CTCCGGGAACGTTTGTTTGTCGAGCTGCTTTAGTCAGACTCGTTTATTTCCTTAGTATTTGGTTATAATATGATGTTGATATATTCCAGGTGTTAATCCCTGATGATTGAAAATATTATAACTTTGGTTTTATTAAATAAATTATTCCGCTGTGTAAACATGTATGAGTTACTACTAAGATTATGCATGACAGGAATTTGTGTTATTTAAAGAGATTTGTGACATCCTCGATTATACATGTACTCTGAACTTATGATTTTAGTAATTGCGAAAATTTATTCGGGGTTTTCAGAGGGTGTTACACATAAGCCTTCAACTTTATATTTGCCAATCCAGACCAACTTAACGAGCATTAGCTCCAACATGATATGCTATGTATGCGACCACTTTATGAAACACAACAACTACAACAATAACATATAACAACATTGGAATAAGCCTACAACTCAATAATTACCAATCAATAGAGGCAACACAACAAAATTCGTCACCTGCAACTCAATAATTAATAACAATAACACAATACTTTACACATGCCATTAATGTTATTAACACGGTCTTACTAAAATACTTCTACTAAATTATTCCACTGATAAGCCCTATTAATAGTTTTATGCTAAATTAATGAAGCTATTATTTTCTTGCTACCTAAATTATCTCCACTACTACGATATTTTAGTTACTAATATTTCTGTTATTTACTACTAGCTCTGCAACTAAAACCATACTAGTTACTCACTTTGTAAATTAATAATTATCCTTGCTAAATATCTACTACTATTACTTTCATAAATTACTGCTACCATGATTTATCATTATGTTGTCTGCTATTACTAACTTGCTGCTAACTTTTACTAACTTTGTTACTTATTAACCTTACCTATTATATTTATGCTAATATATAAATTGTTCACTTATGTTACTAATAAATAGCCTTTGCTGTTATTCATTATTTTCTAACTCTGCTACATCCATTTTTGTAACTAAAACTAAAGTAACAGACACACAAGAAAGACATAGGAAACAATTAAAAAGTGAGATGATGGCTTATGGGTTATGCCCCTCAGCATGCACATTCGTGCCCCTCGACATGTATAGTTGTGCCCCTCGGCATAGAACATGGTGCTTGTTGGCACCCTTCACCACTATACGTGTGCCGCTCGGCACACAGTCCATCCTCCTCCTAGTCGTTCTGCAATTTCGTCCATATTTTTCCTGTGATTAAATAGTTCCTTCCCCTACCAATAATCTCAGACCAACACTACACGTATTCACAACAACATAATAACTATACCCACATAAATATAAGATAATTTTCAACACTCGATTTATCGATTGAATCACTGCAACGTTAGCACAAATACGACATATACCGAACAACAATTCGTTCATACAACAATCACACATAACAACAAATTTACACAATCTAATTCCTACGTAACATGCATCATAATTCCTATTATAGAGTCAGAACCCCACCCTTACCTTGGATTGAAGGTCTCTCTATAACTCTCCGATCGAAAACTTTGATTTTCTTCTTTTCCTTTTCCTCTTCTATGCAACTTCTCACGTACATCATTTTCTTTACTCTTTCTCTTAACCCTTTTTAATTAACCTAATTTCTATTATTTAACTTAACCTAATAATATTATTATTTCTATTGGGCCTAGTTTTCACCCTCCTTAATACTATGTCTATCACCAAAACAAGCCCAACAATTAATATTATTAATATTCTACAATTCTAATATTATTACTAATATTATTAACCAACTAATTTAACCGACTAATAACAACACCACAACTTATGTCAACAACTCACAACATAACACAACATGTCAACTATTTCAATAAATAATTCGCAATTAATCGAAAATACTTAATTAAATAATTAATTAAATCAACAGGCGTTACACTTTGCATAAGATAGATACTTGGGAATTAATACCTCCTCCATCAAGAAAACATGTTATTGGATCTTGTTGGGTATACAATATCAAAACCAAGTCTGATAGATCAGTTGAGCGACACAATGCTTGTCTTGGTGCTAAGGGATTCTCTCAACAGTTTGACATGGATTATGAAGAAACATTTTCTCTAATAGCCAAGATGATTACAATTCGTCTTCTTACTATTTTAGCATTTGTTCACCAATGGAATATTTATCAAATATGTGTTAAAAATGCATTTCTAAATGGCTGTCTTCAAGATGAAACATATATGGTACTTCCACCAGCTATTCATCATAATTAAGGAGAAATGTGCAAGTTGAATAAATCCTTATATGGTCTGAAATAAGCTTCACAAACTTGGTTTGCGTAGTTATTCACCGTGATTACATCTCTTGGCTTTCACTCTAGTGATCTTGATTGAACTTTATTTCTCAAGACCAATTGTCATGGCTATATTTTACTATCTTTATATGTTGATGATATGATTATTATATGTGATGATGTTGATGAGATTGATGAGTTGAAATTACATTTAGCTAAATAATTTGAGATGAAAGATTTATGCACTCCTCAATATTTTTTGGGAATTGAGGTTACATACTCACGTAGAGGTTATCTTCTTTCTCAATCTACTCAATCTAAATATGCTACTAACATTCTTGAACATACTAGGATTTCTGATGCTAGATTAACAGATAACCCCATTGAGTTTAATGTGAAATATTCCTCCTCTGACGACGCTCGTCTATCATGTCCCATTTTGTATCGTACTCCGGTTGACAACTTGGTATATCTTATTATCACCATACAAGATATTGCTTATGCAGTGCATGTTGATAGTCAAATTGTTTTTTCTCCAACTACAGTACACTGGGCAGTTGTTCTTCACACACTTCGATATCTTCGAGGAACTTAATTCAGAGTCTTTTTTTCCTTCGTCTTCTTCTTTAGAGTTACTTGCTTACTCTAATGCATATTGTGTTGGTGATCCCATTGATCACTAGTATACTACATGCTTTTGTATTTTTTTAGGAGATTCTCTTATTTTTTAGAAAACTAAGAAGCAAGACACGATAACTCGTTCTTCAATAGAAGCAGCGTATCATGCTATGACAATTACCACTTCAAAGATAATGTGGTTATGTTAGCATTTTTCTGATATAGGCGCCCCTCTCTAAACCCATTCCCATGTATTGTATTAACAAAAGTGCCATTCAAATTGCTCATAACCTGGTCTTTCGTGAACGCACCAAACACATTGAGATTAATTGTCACCTCACCCACCATCATCTTCAGCATGAAACTATTACTTTACCGTTTATTTATTCATCCTTGCAGATTGTTGACTTGTTCACGAAAACACATTCTATTAAACGTTTTTGTTTCTTGATTGACAAACTCTCGATGCTTCTTGTTAATGCATCGTGAGTTTGAGAATGAATGTTATATAATATATTATATTAAGGATAATTTAGTCTTTTGATGCTTTAGTATATATACTTTTCCATTGCTTTGTAACGTGATATTTTTCGTCATTCTTAATGAAATAATAACCAATTTATCTTCTCTCTTTTTAGGTGAATCCCTAATGTTAATATTCAAACATATTTAATATGGTATTAAAATCGAATTAAAGAATACAATATAGATATTTGACCCAAACCATACTAAACGTGAGAACGTGTGTTAAATATGCATTTGTTTTGTTCGAGTTTATTTAAACTCTCATATTACTTAAATTCTTAAGCTCTTGAATGTATAAACACGCGAGGAAAAACTCACCCTTTAAATTAGTTTTTGGAATTAAGATCTTAACATATCTAAAAGTCATGGCATGTTATTAGAAAATTGTGTCGTTCTCAAGCATTTATAAGATTGTGAATGGAACAACAAAATAAGGGAAAAAAGAGATGTTGATGAGAGAAGTTGTAGTGAAAGTGTATATTTCTTTTGATTGAAATAGGAGATGAGAGAAGAAATAGCATGTGACCCACACCTTTTTCTATTCTCTTCTAGAAAGCTCAACAAATAATTAATTATTGATAATTTTGTCCTTCTTGAGGTACAATTGTTTTTGAATATTAATCTAAATAAAATACAACTATGTAATTATTTGAACGAAAACATATTTATTTATTTATTTAATTAAATATTAAATAAATAAAATATTATTTAGCTAACTAATAACTAAAAAGGACTATTTAAATAATAATTAAATTATATTTAATTAAAATAAATAAATAAAATTAGTATCGTACAAATAATTTAGTCATTTTAAAATTAAACACACATTTTTCTATCTCATCTTATTCTTAAAACAAATAACTTATTAAATCTATTCTATTTCTCTTTTCTTTATCCTTTTTTATATTTTTTTCTTTGTTTTTCATTTCTCCTTGCAATTAATCATAGTGTAAGAGAATTATCGGATGGTCTGATTTAGATAAATATTCAACTCAAAAAAAATCACAAACTCATTTGTTATTTTATTAAATTTAATATTATTAAATTTTTTAACATAAATATTTGTAATATTTTATGAGATAATCCTGAAAAGTAATAATAGTATAATTTAGCAGTAATAATTTGATTAAATATATATAACACTATTCTATACTATATATGCATTATTATATACTAACATTAACTTTTTAGGCGAGGCGAGGGGTATCTAGAACATTTATTAAAAAATTAAAAAAGAGGAGAGAGAAACAAAAAAGAAAAACCAAAGACAGACAAATGTTAAAAATAAAAAAAACAGAAGAAGATAAAAAGCAAACTCTTCGAGTGTTGTGTTGTGTTTTGTTTTTCGCAATAATAAAAGAAAACGAACGGTGGTGATATCCCTTGTTCTGCAATCTCAATCGCTCCTCCCTCCTCTCTTTTCCAGCGTCCGATTCCTTCTCCATTCTCACCGATCTTACACACGCTCGCGCCAAATACAAATTCAGGTTTAATAATATTAATAATATTATTATATTACAACACTCTCTCTCTCTTTCTCTCTCTAGGGTTTCAATTTCGCTATGTTTATTAGGGTTCCGACGATATGTCCGACGCTCCGGCGAGTCCTGGCGGTGGAAGCCACGAGAGCGGTGAACACAGTCCGCGTTCTAACATCCGCGAGCAAGATAGGTTTCTTCCTATCGCGAATATCAGCCGCATCATGAAGAAGGCTCTCCCTGCTAATGGGAAGATTGCGAAAGATGCTAAAGAGACCGTTCAGGAATGTGTTTCTGAGTTCATCAGCTTCATCACCAGCGAGTATGTTTGTTGTTTATTGTTTTTGATTTTCTTTTTCGGTTTTGTTTTTGCTGTCAATTGATTGTGATGTCGATTTCGATTTTGATTTCGGTGAATTGAAATTGTGTAGGGCCTCTGATAAGTGTCAGAGAGAGAAGAGGAAGACGATTAACGGCGATGATTTGCTTTGGGCGATGGCGACACTAGGTTTCGAGGATTATATTGATCCTCTTAAGATTTACCTTACGAGATACAGAGAGGTGAATTCTATTTCAATTTACTGTTTCTTCTTGATTTTTTTGGGACTTTACTTTACAAGCTTTTCTGGTCCCCAGTGAAAATAAATGAGAATTGGGTCCTCTGACAATGTATACAGACTTAGTTTGAAGTTTTATTGCTGCTGTGGTTTTTACTGATGGTAATTTTTTTTCTTTTATTTGTCCTTGGTCGATTGGAAATGTTGCAGATGGAGGTAAATTTCAAATCCTTTATTTCATTGCTTGAATATTTTTGTGATTTTTTGTCTTGTTTGTGCATTATATTTGTGTTACGGTTTTGCAATTTGTTTTGTTCTAGGGTGATACGAAGGGCTCTGGCAAGGGTGGAGACTCGTCTGCTAAGAAAGATCTTCAACAAGGATCTAATCCTCATGTAAAAAACATACACATGACTTATGCGTGGTTTTATTGTTGGAGAAAAAAGAACAGAAAAACAGTATCTGATTTTTATATATTTTGTTGAAATTGCAGCTTGTTCATCAAGGTTCTTTCTCACAAGGTGTTTCTTACACAAATTCTCAGGTAACACTACTTTCTTAAATGCTGGATTGTGTTGAATGTTAATAAAAGAAATTGCCAATGTTGTTGCCAAAACTATGAATTGTGACTTCCATATAAATAAATATATATTGTTCTTGACTTTACATCAATAATATTGCCCCCTACTAACACCCTAATGCATAGAAATAATATTCATGATGCTAGAAATGAAACGTGACTCACTTATACTTCCATTTTACAGAACTCTGTGTTTAAAATCCTCTCATTTTCCATACAGTTTTCCTAGTTGGCTTTTATTTTAATGTTTCATTCATTGTTTGTCGTCGTACTATTTTGGTTTGATATCTTTATCTACCCCTAGAAAAAGGTCTCTGTTACCATTAATGTGCCTGATAACTCACCAATGAGTTGGCTCCTTTTGGTTGGTAGCACACATCAATGCACCCATTAAAGACAGTTGTGTGGGCTACAGTGTGTTGTTTAGGTTCAAATCAGCTATTTCTTTAGTTTGTACTCCATCTATGAAAGAGCGTTTTTATGTATCTTCTTGAGCTCTGAGGTTGTTTGAGATTCTTCCCACATGAATTATATAAAAAATAAAAATGTCAAAGCTGCCATATGGTGTTCTAAACATTCTTTTACAAAATGCATTAGGCTTAAATGACAGTTTGTGGATCATGTAGTTGTAGGCTGGAGGCTATCCTAGTAGTTCAGACTTGATGAAAAAAAGTTTTGTTTTGGCTTGTTAGCCTGGGTGTGAATGGTGATAATGTTATCATGTGTGGACTTATGTATTAACTATTAAGTGCTTATTTTTGACCTATTTTCTGAAGCTTACGGTACAGGTCATTTGATTAGTAACTTACTGTATAATTGCTTGACTAGGTAAATCAAGATATTTTTTGAAAATTGTTTAATGGTACTTATCATCCTGTGTCCCTTATCAGCAATTGCAACAAGGGCACTGCCACACCTGAAAACGGTGCTTCAGTTCTGCCCATCACTTTTGTTTTGGGAGGCCTCAACAATACACATATACTAGTGATTTAAAACATCAAAATCAAAATAGACATAGAAATTAGTCCAGTCCCTGCAATCTATGGGCTCTATATGAAACCAGAAAAGCCACCATGGATATCATCTCAAAAGAAAATCTATGACCCCAACAAACTACTCAAAAACCCAAATATCCACCAACCATTCATTATCAACAACCTCAACCATCGTTAACCATACCACTATTGTGAAGCCTTGCTGGAGCACGGAGCCAGCAAAAAAGCTGCAAATCCAAAATCTGCTACAACATTTTGAGACACCACCCCTCACTCACAACTAGACCCAAATTCTGAAATCCCTTCTGCACTGCCCATGCCAGACTTCTTCTGGCCTTCTATGGACACAAATCTCATAGTCATATCCTAATTTTCAAAACGGCCAATTTATAATTTGATATTTTATGAACAATTTTTAACTGATTTACCATTGAAGTAAGCCAACTATTAGAACTAAATTTAGTGTGGAATGATGGTTTTGATAGGGTTTGTTACTCAACCATTAAGGTTGAAAGTGGTGATGTTAATTCAGATTAAACATTTTGGGATTGCTTTTCCCCATGAGTGGTCTGATTATTTTTTGTTTATGACTCAATAAAGAGAACCTATCCTAAAATACCCGCTTATCTGGTGCATTGTCCCATTGCTCATGTACTTCACTGTCTTTAATCCATGTGGATCATGGTAGTATACCGCGTCATTATTTGGTACCAGTGTCACTTGCGACAGAATCTAAATTAGATATACTGTTACTCATTTTTAAAAATTAGCTTTTAGATACTGGGTTTTTATTAAAAACAATTATACTGGTCCAAAGGTCATGAGATGTCACCTCTAAAGTCACTTTGAGGCTTCTGCTACTTGAATTCTTATCAGCACACTCATCCCAAAAAGTTCAGAATCTGTTAACACACATATCTTTCTGTTTGAGGCCCCATCTATGCTCGAGGAGCTATCAAACATTAAATATCAGTGTCTTTTCTATTGGGATCTGAACTGTAGTTTGTTGCCTTGTCTCCTCTAAAACCCAACTGCCGTAAAATAGCTGTGGCTTAACTATGCCTGCACATAGTATTTAGCATTCATTACATGGAGGTTTTTCCTCTTTTGTTTATAAGTTTATATCAGTTTAAGGAATTTATACTGATATAGGCAATATAATGATTTTTTATATTGATATTTTTTTTGTTCTTCGATCTCAGGGTCAACATATGATGGTTCCTATGCAAGGCCCAGAGTAGGAAACAAACCCTGTCTGCAGTGCTGGTAGAGCTTTACAAACTGCTCTCGGCATAATTTGAGTGTATTTTATGTCTTAATACAAACATAAGGCACATTAGTTCTTGTGTCCTGATTTTTTTTTTAAATTAAGGTTTGTATATTATGTCTGGATTAACATTATTATTTCAAAGTTACATTTGTAATTTTAAGTGCTGGTGCCATGTTGGTTTGATTCCTTCTGGTGGTTTGATTCCTTCTGTATGCATAAATTGGGTTTTTAAAACCTTATATGGTGTACAATAATGGATGAAGACAGTTGAGTTTTTGAAGAGTTTTGAAATTTTTATTGAGTGAGCATTTTAAGTGAGATAAAAATCTTACTTGTTTTAATTAACATTAGATTTGAAGTAAAATTGACGTACTAGTATTAACCTACATAATGTGAAGATTTTACTTTAAGGTATCACTTTTAGTTAGTAATTTTGATGATTGCTTCTTGATTTTACAACTAATGATTGAAGTGCTCAAGTAAAAACAGAAACATGTCGATCTTCTGATTTGTTGGCAAGAACCCTAGTTTGAATCAGTGAAACAGGTGGTGAGGATTTGACATGATGTTGCCCGAAACAACATACAAAGTGGCTTGGGAATTATTTATTATTTAAATATCCGACATACGGAGTAGTTGAGATTCTCTCTATTTCTTCTCCACAATTATAACATATTTTGTATATAATTTGACTTATATAAGCCATGCTTGCATGTGTGTTGTGGTTGGTTTGGAGATTGACTTGACAGTAAAACTTATATCAGGATGAGAATGAGTGAACTTATATCTGGATGAAAATGAGTGAGGTAAATTTAACTCATTCATTAAACAATCCTCGTCCAATATAGGAGAAAACAATTATTGGATTAGGCGTAGTGCTTTTAATTAATCTCATTAGTCAGTAATGATCACATAATTTTTTGGTGAAAATTTAAAATATCTATAATTTTTAGAGATGCATCTTTAGACGCGCATTTTTATTTCACAAAATTGAATGCAAACAAAAAGATTATCTTATTATAATTAATTTCGGAGATACCAAAATAAAATATGTTTTTTTATAATAAAAATGATGTTTTCAGATGAGCAGATTTAGTATTCATGCATCACTAATGCTATATATATATATATATCAACAATGTTCTTATTGAAAAAAATAATTAGAAAATAAGAAAACAATCAAAATCAAATAAGTGTTTACAAATTTTTTGAAAATATGAAAACAGAAAATAAATCAAATAAAATAGAAAAATAAAGAATTGTTTCTTGATGAAATGACACGGTAAAATTTTACTTCAGAGTTTTTTGCTGTGTAGATATCTTGAGAAACAAAATCATAGACATGTAGGTTTAAGACTAAACCGACTATTCCAAAAGTACTCATCCATAAACCAAACCAGTTACTGATGTACAAATAACATAAAGAAATGTAACTAAGTAATAATCTCAAACATTTGGGATTAAAAGTAGCTAGCAGTAACCATTGAATAAGTTTTTTTTCTTTCTTTTTCTGTTTGGGTTGAGTTAAAAATACGTAATGTATTTATACCTTCACCATCTTCAAATAAGATATTTTTTATGATAGTAATATAAAGAAATGTAACCAATTAATCCCAAACATTTGGGACCAAAAACAGTTAGCAGTAGCTATTGAATAAGTTTCTTCTGCTTGGGTTGGATTAAAAGCATTTAATATATTTGCACCATCACCATCTTTAAATAAGGTATTTTCTATGGTAGCGTCATACGTAGCGCATAGTAGGGCAATGTCCAACACACCAACAACTCCCATTTTATTATTAAGAATTTCGAATTGAGACTAATTATTCAAATAGATGGCGGTAAACTAATGAGCTCGGATATTAATGAACTCAATTTTTTAAAAAATTGAGTTTTTTACGCTAGATCGCCTAAAGAGCAGAAACACAAAAATACAAGAGTCAGAACGTGAGGATACAATTTTCATGACTTTAATATTGATTAAAATTGACAAAGAGTCTTCAAAAATGACACAAATTTTATGAAAAATGTGTAGTAAATATGATTATAAGTGTTTTCGGAGATATGTCTTTGAATTCACTATAAATTTTTTTGTAGAAGCATCTCCAAATTAATTTTTTTACAAAAATAGATTACAGTTTGTTCGAAAATACATTTCTAAAATTTTTTTATAACAATTTAAAATTTTTAAAGATATGAACCACACTATAAGATGGAAAAAAAAATTATCGAAATTATCTGGATCAAAAGGCAAATCTCGTGTGAGATCCATGGGTGGAAGTCGGTTTGAATGTCAAAAGCCTATATCCTGTAATAAATCAAGACATTATTTTTTTGACATAGAGAAATGCTTTTGGACTACTTTTCTATTTTAAAACCTATAAAAATTGAGTTTTCCTAAATCTTTGATTTTAAATTTAGTGTCTAAAATAGTTTTAACAGCTTGAAATTCTAATAAATCTGTTCCTACAAATATTTAAGTCATCAACATAAACAAAAATAACAACAGTGAAGAAATGATTATGCTTTTTTATAGCCTAACTCAAGAATGATAGAAGTAAGTTTGTTTTTCCATTGTCTACGAGTTTGCTTGAGGTTATAGATGGCTTTTTTTTTATTTAATTTTTTTTTAATTTGAAACAGGATTGGACTGGTTGGTGAGAAGTTCAATGGATATTTCATGTAGACTTTTTTTAACTAAGGTTATCATAATTGAATTTTTATTTTGGTAAAAAGTTCAGGGAGATATTTTGTTTAGATAAAATTAAAATATAAAATCGAAGAGCAAAATCGTAGAGTTTTATATTATATTAAAATAATATTAAATTTTTATCTACGATTTTGCTCTACGATTTTGATATATATAATAAGTCAATCCAGCACAAGATGAAACGAAAATGATATATATAACGAGTATAATAAGTCAATCCAGCACAAGATGAAACGAAAATGACAAGATAAAATTTAAAATTTTAAAAAAATCAACAAAAAGTGGTGTGCATAACTATTGATAAGTAAGATAAAGAATTGACAAAATTATGTCAGAAGTCTTTTAAGTTATTTTTGAATAATCCGGTTGGTCCTTTTAAAATTTTTTTTGTAACAACTTTGTCCTTAAAGTTACAAAAGATGTGCACCGTTACCCTTTTTTAATATAGTGAATGTGTTTTGGGGGTGTAATTATTGAGTGGTATGAAAATAATAAAGTGAAACTAGAAATACAACAATCACAAATTTCTAAATGTTCAAAATATGAAGAAAATGATGTAGAAATCAACCAAAAGGATCAAGTTGTTAAAAAAAAAATTAAAGGACCAACATGTTACATAAAAATAACTTAAAGGACCTCTATTGTAATTTTGTCTAAAGAGTTTAACCACCAAAACGGCTGAAGTTTTACCCTTTCAGATAATCCAAGCAATTACTATGCTTTATTATGGAAAATACACTTATTTCTCTCTTTCCAGATAACTCAAACCACCCGAGCCAAATAGTATTAAAAACCAATCAGACATTTTTCGAAAAACCACCAAGCCCACCAAACTACAATAGATGATCCCAAACCGTTCTTTGGGATTCCATAGTGAACCCTAACCAATTAAGAATAATATGCCACAACCTATCAAAAAATTACGTGTTACAAACAAATAATCTTTATCTTCATCCACGTCATAGTTTGCCATACATTTTTTATCGTTCGTGGCAAGAATCTGCCTCCTAGCTAGGTTATCCTTAGTTGGACCGCGATAACAACTGTCAGACAAAAATAGACACCTTACGCGGCACAATCTTCAACCATAAAAAAATGGGAATTAACTTGATTGTTGTTGACGTTGACTTTAGATAAATTATTATAAGCACTGTTGACTAAGTAGCAAGAAGAGAGATGTAAACTCCAAACCCATCGATCTTTCCACCTGCAAAATAACTGAGGTTAACCACTCAATACACTCCCTTACTAACTCCTCATCTCAAGCAAACAACCTCTTACGCCACTTCCACGCCTCCCCGTCCTCCCTCACCCCCAACTCATTGATTTTTGCTACTGTCACCTTTTTATTCTCAGCTAAATCAAATAGCCTAATTAATCTTAGCTTCAAAGACGTATCATCGAGCCAAAGATCAAGCAAAATATAGTAGAAGACACATATCCTATTCATGGATCAATTATCAAGCAACCACCCTTCATCAACCAAGTCGACACCTTCCCTTATATTTTTCAAATTTCTCCACCAAACAAAACTGCCCCTACCCCTAAAACATAAATGCCCCCACTTCAAAACCATATCGAGCATACAAAACCCTATACCAAATACTTCTCGTCTCATTTAGAATTTCTAAACACCATTTACCTAGTATTGATAAGTTAGACTCCTTCAACCTCCCAACCCCCAGACCCCCATTTACCATAATCTTTTTTGAAAATTATGATTTAAAATACAATCATTTTCAAAATAAGAGTTTGAGTATATTTTGTTGTACCTCAATTTTGGCCCCTAAGATCCCTTCATCATACCATTTTGATCCAATCACAACAAGATCACATTAGGGCTTTTGGTTCTTCTCCCTATCTTTAGCTTTTCTCTTTGAGGAATCCCCAAACACCTTGACTTGTTTTCTTTTGTGATCATGAATATTTTGTCTTGATTTTCCTTCTAATTAATAAAATGTAATGTTGGTTTGTCTTGCTTGTTACTAATGTAGGTAAAGGCAATGAGATTTAGCAAGTTGCTCCATGGGTTCATGAGTTTATTTCCATGCCCTAGTCAATAAAGCTTGAGAAGTTAAAACCTCACTATTGGATTTGTTTTGGAAGAAATGACATGACAAGGTTATTTTGGTTCACTAACTTTCAAGGTTATCAAATTTGATTCAAAAGTATAAGGGGTTGATTAAAGAAGTTGTTATACTTGGACAAGGCTTTGTTCTCATTGGTCACAAGTGCATATTTCTCTCAATTCTCAAGACATG